CAGCATGCTCGATTACCCCCCTGTGCCAAATCCCAGCCCCGTAGCTCAAATTTTGCAAAAAATCGATAGAATCGACATCGATCGATAACGAAAAGGGGACTGTGACACCCGCCGGGGCCCGAAGGTATGTGTGCCAAGTTTGGTCCGGATCGGTTAAGAAATGGAATTTTCTATTCGGAACATACGGCGGAGCCGGGTAAGCCAGCTAGTATATTATAATCAAGAATTTTCTAGCTTACAAATCGCAGGAAATATTGGGTCGGAAACTAAGTTGTGCAACTACTTCAATAGCTTTCATCTTTTTCAACATGGCGCGCTCAGATTTTTTCATTACGTTGATTGTGAAATAAAGTACAAAAGCACCTACTTTTCTGTACGATGCAAGAAGAAAAATTCTTAATTTTACACATTCGCCTGAAATTTGGCTCAGGGGTTATTTAACGTGCTGATGACAAAAAGAATACTGAAATTGCATGTTAAAGGCATTTTTGTAAGAATACTGTAGGTTTACGGTTTGAGGTCTCATCTTAATCAAGAAAAAAGCATTGATTCAACTAATGAATATGATATTAGTGTTTGTTCAAGTAATTCCAGCATGCAAAGTTTCGGCGAGTTTTGGTGGCTCGACTCCTTAGCCATTGACGGATGTCCCCAGCAGTTTTGCGTAAACGTTCATCTTTGCGAGGGCGTCAAATTTTGAGTTATCTTCAAATTTCATTTCTTATTTATTGAGTAATGAACAAATAAATGAATGAGTTGAGTAAATGAACCTCAACAATAATTCACACACAATTTCAGATCATTTCGCATTGTCTAGGTTGCTAACGGCTTCAGTTTGGCTTCCAACCCTAGAAATATTCGGAATTCATTTTTTTCGAAAACGCCTTCAATTTTTTTAATTCGCTTCAAAAATTCGTGTGTTGCTGTGCACAGTTGTAGCACGCATTACCTTCTACAAAATGCTAAAATTTGAGTGCGCAACATCCAAAGAGATTAAAGTTATGAAGAGAGTTGTAAAACTTAGTTTCCAACCTAATATATTCCCGAGCGACATACTAGCCATAGACGTGAGATTTGCTTTTACTTACCGTCTACTACCCATGACCCTTCCACCTTCTAAATCGAAATCCACATTTATTAGACAATATAAAATTACCTTTGTGACAAGCTAGACCTGTTATTTCCTCTCCCGAAGAAACGTCCTTTTTGGCAGATTCGTCTTTATTAAATACACCCCATCGTCCATCCAAGCAATAAATTTGAAAATTTGCTTTGAACTGCTTCACCGTAACTGAAAATAAATTTTGAGGAATGCCAGCGGTATGGGCACGGCATGATTCTCCTTTAACACTCTAGATATCAATTTCTCAAATGATCGCGCCAGCTACGCGGATCGTGACTTTGAGATCAAAATAGTACTACATAGTAAACACCCCCACAATGGTCGGCCGCCTCATCGTGGCGTGGGGGTGACACTGGGTGTCGAACTGCGATGCACAGCCGAGTGTATACTCTGGCAGGGCCTCCCAAGCTGTGAAGGAGTTCGACGTTTCCGGTTTCGGCCGGATGCCTAGCTAAGAGCCGGCCAGGCCAGATCCGCCGCCGTCTGGTTTTCAGGTCGCTAGGCGGTTCTCCCCGCTCCAAGCCCGGGGTCAGCGATCACCCCGTGGAAATCAAGAGTTGGCCTAGTAAGTCTGCTCTTGTAGGGGAAAAATTTCATTACTCTACCAGTTAGAAGAATAGAAAGAAACCCTGTACATCGGATCCCGCCTACGGCGCCGGGTGGTAGCAAGACTGATGTCAGGGTCCTCAGGGCGCCTTTTGGATTGGACAAAAACGACACGTCTGCCCGGACGACACGCCATGGAGACTGCCTCATGCTCTGCACCTACAACGCCAGGACAGTCTCCACAAACGCCGACCTCCACGCTCTTCTCGACGCTGCAGAGCACATCAAGTACCACATCATCGCTCTGCAGGAAACGAAGTCCAGGAAGAAGGACGTGCGACAGATGAATGATGGAACACTCATCATTCGTGGTGAGAAGGTTCCATCACGAAACGTGGGAGGTGTTGGCTTTGTCGTCCACCCATCTATCGTCCATCTTGTCGATTCGCACGAGATCCTATCACCCCGACTAGCCATCCTACGACTACGCCCTCCACGTCAGAAGACCATCAGCATCATCAACTGCTACTCTCCAACATCAGCAGCTGACGACTCAGAACTAGATGCTTTCTACGAAGACGTGGAGGAGGTCGTCCGCAGCGAAAAGTCCTTCTACAAGTATGTTGTGGGCGACTTCAATGCGAAAATCGGGATGCCACTAGAAAAGAAATATAGGATCGGGAAGTTTGGATATGGGCTCCGGAACGAAAACGGCAACCGTCTTGTTGGGCTTCTCTCCGCCGCACGACTTTTCCATGGAAATTCCATCTTCATGAAGAAAGAACATCGCCGGTGGACATGGGAATCGCCCAACGGAACGACTAACGCGGAGATCGACCACATTCTCGCCAACCGAAGGTGGAGCTTGCTCGATGTCTCAGTAGTTCCATCCTTCTGCAGTGGCTCCGATCACCGCCTCCTTCGAGCGAAGATACGACTCAGCCGAAGGCTGGAAAAGAAAGTCTGTCACAGTGCCGCGAGAAGGAAGGAAGTCGTTTACGACGGTAACAGGCTGGAGGAGCTCATATCAAGATGTGACTGGCCCATCGAGGAGGACCCAACGTATGACTACGACCGGCTTCTGAAAGGATTGCGAGCCTGCGGAGAATGTGCCTCAGTGACTTCTGAGAAGAACTTGGAACGTATATCGAAGACCACCAAGGAATTGCTCGAAAGAAGAAGATTTCTGAGGCAGGATCCGAATGCAACCCATCTCGAGCGACTGATAGCCAACGCCAGTTGCAGAACAGCTTTGCAGGAGGATCTCAGGAAGTACAGGCAAGCCAAGATACTGGAAGCAGCCGAAGAAAGACGAAGTCTTAAGAAATGCCGAAGGGACCTCTGTGAATATCACGTACCGCTGGCTGCACTATTGAACGAAGACGGGACTCCGACTTCTTCCCGATACAAGATGGAATCTATCGCGAAGAACTTCTATACCAACCTCTTCCGCTCATCAACACCCGTGCCGATGCCCGTTGTTCCCACTGGAGAAGTACCACCACGAATTCTACCTGCTGAAGTGCGCACGGCGATCCAGACCATGAAGACATCCACGGCTCCAGGACCAGACTATCTTTCCGTCGAATTTCTGCGAGCCGGAGGACAACGTCTACACGAGATTCTCGCGTCGCACCTGACATCTTACCTTCAGAAGGAGAGGATTCCCGACCAGTGGAGAACGTCAAGAACCGTCCTTCTTTTTAAGAAGGGTGAACGGGAAGATCTTCGAAATTACCGTCCAATATGCCTGCTGAGTGTGCTGTACAAGCTCTTCACGAAGATTATCCTCGCACGCATATCTAGGACACTGGATGAAGCCCAACCCCAAGAACAAGCTGGATTTCGCAAAGGATTCAGCTGCATGGACCACATCCAGACGGTTTCGAGGGTCATAGAAGTCTGCCGGGAGTACCGACTGCCTCTCGTCCTAACCTTCGTCGACTACGAGAAAGCCTTTGACAGCGTCGAAACCAACGCCATCCTGTCTGCGCTAGTCGATCAAGGAGTGGAACCAGCTTACGTGAGGACACTAGCCGACTGCTACAAGGAATGTACAACAACGATGCAGCTATTCCATCGCCCCCTAACCATTCCAATTGGGAAGGGGGTTCGACAAGGCGACACTATTTCGCCGAAGCTGTTCATCGCGGCCTTGCAGTGGGTGATGAAGTCACTAGACTGGGAAGAGAGAGGCATACGAGTTGATGGGAGATTCCTATCCAACCTTCGTTTTGCGGATGACATCGTCCTTTTCTCGAGCAGTATCACTGCAGCAGAAACGATGCTGAAGGAACTAAACGAAGTAGGGAAGAAGATCGGACTGCGAATAAATCGGAAGAAGACTCAGTTCATGAAGAACGCCCTTTGCGAAGATGCAGAAATGGAATTGGAAGGCACCCCTATCATGGAGACGTCTTCTTACGTGTATCTCGGACGTTCGATGAACATGGAGAACGACTTGAGGAAGAACTTAACAGGAGAAAGAAGAGCAGCCTGGGCCGCCTTCGGGCCTCTGAAGGAAGCCACCGACCAACTGACGGACCCGGAGCTTCGTGCCCACCTGTTCGACTCAACCGTTCTCCCAGCGCTCTGCTACGCAGCTGAGACTTGGGCCGATACCGTAGCCACGTCGAAAGCTTTAAGGACCACCCACAGAGCGCTCGAGCGCAGTCTTCTGAAGATGACCCGACACAAGCAACATCTAGTCGGACTTCGCAGCACGGATATGAGAAGAATGTCCCATCTTCGTGACCCAGCGGAATACGTTGCGAAAGCGAAACACCGATGGGCCGGTCACATAATGAGAAGAACGGACGTAGATGGACACTAAGAACATCTGAGTGGATTCCTCGCGAAGCCAAACGTCCTCGAGGAAGACCACCGACGAGATGGGCAGACGTGTTCGTGGAACGGATGGACCAGCTGAGAAATCAGCTGGATACGATTCTTGCCCCTGGAACTCGTGGACGCAGCCACCGACGACGACCAAGAAGATCGTGGATGTCCGAAGCGAGGGACAGGGATCAATGGCGACTTCTGTACTGGGGCCCGCACGTCACGTGAGGACGGGCCATCTAAGTATCTAAGTATCTAAGTAAGTAAACACTAGGTGGTAAAGATTTATCCAATAACTGCGAGAAAATTTTGTGAACAGAAAACTTTGCTGCTCCAAGGATGGCATTAGGGTGGAAGTAACCAGTTCGATTTGAAACAAAGCTAAGCAAGCCTTTCCCTCAAGAAAGTTTTCCTACTATTTCATACTTCACATTTTCCACTGCTCATACACAATCGTTTGCTGTGCGTTGCAAACGAGTTATAATAGCCATCATCAGTTGTTTAGCCACCTCGCCGCCCTGCGTGCAAATGCACAACACTTTGAATCTCCGAATGAAGCAGGCTGGCCGAGTCCATGATTGCACAAGGCGCTAGACCGCTCATTTCGCGACGCTGAAGTGCTTTTATTACATTTTTGATGCTTTTTTGCCTGTTGCTCAACTAGTCGACTATCTGTATAAACACAATTACGCACGTCACTATTGGTTTCTGGCAAGCCATTGAGGATTCTAACTTTTTTCAGACGGATCTTATGCAATTGCAGTGCAATGCATGCCGTTGGTGAGTTGCCAAATTTACTGAATGATCTAATAATAAAAGTCTGGAAAAAACAATCTTAAGAAGATTGCTTCTAGTCATTTCTACCTCTGGAAATCAAGCACTTTACTTTTGGGTGATATTATTTGACACTATCAAGTCATCAGGCTATTTCCTTTAGAAACGTACTGTGAACAAAACTTTACTGAAGAAGAATGCAAATAAAGAGAAGCTGTGAGTAAATCAATTCCTGAAAAGTGAGCCTCGTCTGATGGCACAAACAACAACCTGATGCAAAGTACCATTCGTTATGTGTCTAAAGGATATTCGTCGACGACTGCCCCGACTCGTGCAATTACACCACCTTGGGCATGCCTTATTGGGAGCCTTTCCAGCTTGACAGTATGCTGCAACTCGCAGGGACTTTTTGCTCGTAGCATTCCTGTCCTTTCCCTGTCCTGTCCTGTCCTATACTGTTAAGGCTCCAAAAAAGCACGCCCACGGTGGTGTGATTGCACTAGATGGGGCAGACGTCGACGAATATCATTTAATCGCGGAAGACTCGAAACTGCTGGGAGAAGGTCAAGAGGCGCGCTTTCTGCTGCAGTCACCAACTCAAAACTTCAGTTTAGTGCTACGCAAGTCTGCAAAAAATATCAAATGAAGTGCATTAGCTTACCATCTGTCTATGGTCACCATTTGCTGAACTTGGGGGCTTTTGCTGGAAAATGGACCGAAATATTCAAGAATTTGTTCTCAACTGCATTTTCATGGGTTTTTGACCTTCAAAATTGCTGTTTCAAATTAACTCCAAGGTAGCAAGATTGAGAAACCCATGAATCCATCTAATATATCTCCTTCTAAAATTTGAATATTTTTAGAATGTTGTAAAACACTTATTATTTGCTATTTGATGTTCATCTGGCAATAAAAATCGCGACTCTTGACATATGTACACCCGAAATTGCTTTCCACACATTGTCAAGACATTCATGATCGTATCGTTTACAAGTTTATACTTCTAGTGCCGATTTAGATTATTTGTTAATTGAAGAGGAATCGTGTTCAAGCTGTTTGGGCAATGTGTGCAAAGCGGGGTCTCCAAATCACAGAATGAATGATAAGGACTATTGATTTGAATGATCCAGAATGCCTGCGCTTACATGGTGCACCATTATTTTTATCTAGTAATTCACATCACTCAGGCACTCAATAAGGCTTCCCTCACCCTTAAAAGTACCGTAAACTGGTAATTAGTTCATTAACACATGTTATCATTCAACAGAACTGCAGAAATTGATACTCTTTCATAGAGATTTATTGAACTCCCATTTTCCGCTGGAAAAGTTTGAAAACTCCCATTCTCAACAAAATTGGCAATAGTGACGCAGTTCGCTGTCGATACTATGAAAGATAGACCACAAATTAATTCAGTCACGCAAAAAAGCATAAAAAATGAAAAAAGAGCATTTCGGCATTTCAAAATTAGTCGTTTTGCGCCTTTGTGTGCAAGCACAGACTGGCGCTGGCAGCCTATCTCATCCGAAGATTCAAGATGTTGTGCAGTTGCAGGCATGGCGGCGAGGTGACTAGACAGGTGACGGCCACTACACTTCTCCTATAACTAGTAGTAAATTCTAATAAAAAGCTTGCAACAAATTAACACCATAAATTGCCACAAGTTTTCGAAGTTGTTTCCGAATCCTCCGATTACGTACGAATTTAGGACCATATCGTTATAAATGTGCTTCAAAAGACATTTGCTTGACATTTAGACCAATGGTTTTTTGACAGGTGCGCCTTGAATATGATTGTGTTCGACTACCGCAGCCGTGTATAAGCTTATTCTTACGGGGCTGGAGGTTTAGAGGTATTTAGTGCATGTGAGCGGGTATACTACGATACTCCCTTTGCCCTTTTCTTCTAAAACAATCCAGCATGAATTTGCCATCCTCGTACTGGGCCGTGGTTTTAGCCTTCTGAATTCCTAAGAAAGTTTGAACGCGGGAAGCTTCGAACTACCACTGTACGCGGTTATCTCATTGTTCAATCTCCGATTCGTCTAATGTTAACAGAAAGTTGCTCTAACTCAAATTAATTTGATTTTAAAGCATTACTTTATCTCTCCCAGCCGAAGTGGATGTCCAGCTGAACAAAACATCAAAAAGAAGCCAAGGATACCACCGTAGTTTTTACTAACATCAAAGATGACTTTAAACAGATATTTCTTGGCGAAATGCATGACTCCAGAAGTTAGCAAGGTACATCTTCGGGGTCAGTTGGCAAGAACATTTCTATTAGGTTAGTGCAAAAGTAATGCGCGTTATTCTAGCCCTGAATTGAGGACAACTTTTCTCCAAACTTTCTCCACTGAAAAGAACTTAGCACACCATCAAAAAGCTCCTTTTATGCTCTATCCAAAAATGGCTAAAAGGACCTTCCAGCCCCATTTGTTAAAAATCAATAGAGCTTCATACAACCGCACTCGAAACCAGAACTTTATTACACTTATTTTTCTGACCGGAATTCGAGCGCGAATTAAGGCATTCCTCTAATAATTCAGCTACTGTATGTAAGGAAATTGTCTACATTATGCATGCTTTACTATTTTCTTAGAAATTACCTAGACTGAAATTTGGGCGCCTCAACATGAGTAATGGTCTTGGTCATTCTGTGGCCCATAAACTTCCTTTGAAGAAGGCAATCGCCAGAACTTTGGCCATCTCCTTAAGCGTAAGGGTGGGCCTCCTGTCAACAGTTTTCGCAGAAATGTTTAGCGGTTCAGTACGCAGAGAATCAAAAATCTTCATATTTTGTGAATTTGAGACCTAAGAAAAAAGGTCGAAAAAAGCAGACAATTTTGAATTATAATTTTCCTTTTCGTAAACCTTCTTGCTTTGAGCCCCTTTCAACTTTCTTGCACCACTTACTCGTGCTACAAGACAAGCTACTTATCATTTATGAAAACAAATTTTGAAGGAGTTATGATCAGTCAAAAAGGAGATTTCTGGAAGAAACGTTTTTTGCTTATCAATCCGTATTTTTGTGCCCGTTTGGTTATAAGCATAGGTGGATGTGCGCTGTATTGAAAAAGGTTTGATGCCTCTGATGGTGTTTACTGCACTCAAAGATTGGACTTCTTTTAGAAAGTTATAGCAAATCTAATTGACATCGCAAAACGCGCATTACCTTCGCACCGACCTAATGCTTAAGCTTTTATTGGTACAAGGCGAGCAGAGTTTGTCACTATCAACTCTCGCTGCAGATTTTCAAAATCTTACACAAAAAATTTAATCCAGTGAATGTCTGGACAAAAAACAACACTAGAGCGTGTTTGATTCCAATGTAATAAAGTTAGGGCTGCTAATTTTACACATGTTTGTATCGACTGGAACTACAGTCTGTCCCGATACCAATCAGGCCATTGGCATGGCGGGAGTCCGTGTAACGAGTTTTGCGCCACGTGTGCTGTTAGCTTGTCACTCTCTATTCAACTTTTCGCTCTTTCGGCAGCTCATATGCAGCAGAAACCCCAGCGCTGCGAGCGCGCAAATTCAAGCTAACGTTCGGCATGACTGAGACAGACTAAAAACAGTAGTCGATGTGAAGAAGACTTGTGGTAACGTAGTTTCGGTTTTGGCGGGTAAAGGCAGCTTTGAAAGTTGTTTAACTTGCATTAAGCACTTTGGATTTTATACATGTAATAAATCGTGGAAATCTTTCCACAACTTTTGCAGCAGACATAGATAAAAAATCTTTTTGAATTACACAATAGGTAGCTCCAGGTCGTTCTCAAGGCTCGTGACGTTTTTACCCGAGGAAAACCATGAGAAGTATAGAAGAAACTATTTAAGCCATTTGAGAAAACTTTACTTCGTTGTTTTAGTCGTTATGTGAATTGGTTTTCTTCATAGTCACCCAGGAAGCCGCCAATGCTTCGGAATTCATTTTTTATTGTTGTATAGCTAAGTTATGAACTCTATTTTGAGCTTTTGCAATGAGATTATTCAAGCCGTAAGCATTTTGCAATGCAAAACTTTTTTCGCTTTTCCTTCGGGCTTCATTAGATCGGATCCAATTTTTCTAATTCCATGATACAACCGTATCGAAAACCAGAGAATCTTCGCAATTTGATGATCTTGAACGCGATCATTATTTAAGACATTCAAGGGGAACAAACGATCACCTTTTCGCAATAGGAATTGGGTTGACCCACGCTCGCTTATGAAATTAAAAGAATGATAATTACACTTGTAAAGCATCCACAAATTGAAAAGAATACACCAGAAGAGCAATAAAAGTATAATGAATGATACATGATGCTTACCAGTTTATGTATTAAATGATTTGAATTGATGGACTATGAGATTTGGTGACATCAAAGAAAAAACGAATATTAACACGTTGACGACAATGCGCATCTTTGGTTGTCTGCCTTGTGGGACAATGCCTTCCACGAACGAGTCGAAAATTTCTAGCTAGAATTAAGCAGATCGTCATTTTAACTATACCTACACAAATTCTTGAATGGGGCCCAGAAACGTCAAGGTATTTTCTAGGGTTAGACCGTAAAAGACCTCAGGAAACGGATGTAGCCACTAATTGTCATTATTTCAAAAAAAATTTATGCCGTGACCCACCATGTGGGTCACATTGTCCCACGTGGCAGTCATTGCATGACCCACCATGTGGGTCACGTTGTCGTCAATGTGTTAAACCAGTGACACCCAGTTGGAGAAGGTCCAAAAAGGCATTGATTGCAAAGTATTTCTACTCAATTGTTATTAAATCTGTTTGCAAATTTGAGTGAAAACCAAAGTTTAGCTGAACATGCACGTGACATGAACCATAGGTTTCTCTTAATGACCTCGAAGAATAGGCAGCAATTCTCAGCGAAGAGGTGAAAAGCATTGCGAAACGTTAGCTTGACATGCGCACCCAGATCAATTTTGTATGAAAACTATGTAACGTAGCTCTTGATAGATGGTATTTTCTGATTATATGAAACAGATGCTTCCAGTCTAACATAGATTTCAAACAATATTGGAAAACCAAACATTTTTCAGTCTTTTTGAACAAACAAGATTAGTGAAAATTGCATTGTTCAGCCGCGAAAGTAGGAAAATTTTTTTTTGAGAATTACAAAAAGCGTTTGTGACAAGTAACATTTTTATCAAATGGGAAAGAAACATCTTCCTGTTCTTATCATACAGACTGACCGTCTAGGTCAGAAATCTAAATAAAAATTCGAAAAAATAAACAAAAAAATGAGCCTATCCTTCAAGTGAATACAAACTAGTTTGCCTTTCGATATATCTTTTATCATTTTTTACAAGTTAATCAAAGTTCCTTATCATCTAAAACAAATCTGATTGTGAGATTCTCCACCAGATAGCAATGAAGTCCGAGAAAAGGCTGAGATAAAACTCACCGTCTCCTTGGATTTTTCCGTCACCATATCTGATCTTAAGTCGGTAGTTGTCAGGACAGTTGAGTGTAGCAGTTTCGCCACTATAGTTTATTCTTACGTCCTTAATGCAGGTTATAAGAATAGGTAAGGGATTTGAAACGACTATAATGCATTATCTTTTGCAGGAAGCCGCTGCTTCCTTACAAGGGAATAGTCAGAAGTCGAAATGGTGATTCACAACAAGTTGCCAGTGGATGCAGACTAGAAAGCTGAGTCTAATTCCGTTTTCCGTATCCGTGAACGCTTTTATTGACGAAGTTGCGAACACTTTTGCAAGAATCCTACATACGAAGGGCAAAATTAGCCACATAAATGTCTATGCGGTTCACAAATTAGGCACATAAGTGCCTACTCAATTTACCCTCAGGCATAAAAAATAACTTATCTGCAAGTTCCAACACTAAACTAGACTTAGGGAGTTGTATCGAGTTTCTTCTTTCCATGCACATTTTATTGTAAAATAATGGTTTATATCGGCTCTGTCTACAGATGTGCTTAGCAGATGAAGAAGAGTAGATTTGGAAGCAGCGTTCTCTGCTGCATCACTTGCTACATCACTATGCCTATCGGAAATGTGAATTACTAGATAAAAATAATGGTGCACCATGTAAGCGCAGGCATTCTGGATCATTCAAATCAATAGTCCTTATCATTCATTCTGTGATTTGGAGACCCCGCTTTGCACACATTGCCCAAACAGCTTGAACACGATTCCTCTTCAATTAACAAATAATCTAAATCGGCACTAGAAGTATAAACTTGTAAACGATACGATCATGAATGTCTTGACAATGTGTGGAAAGCAATTTCGGGTGTACATATGTCAAGAGTCGCGATTTTTATTGCCAGATGAACATCAAATAGCAAATAATAAGTGTTTTACAACATTCTAAAAATATTCAAATTTTAGAAGGAGATATATTAGATGGATTCATGGGTTTCTCAATCTTGCTACCTTGGAGTTAATTTGAAACAGCAATTTTGAAGGTCAAAAACCCATGAAAATGCAGTTGAGAACAAATTCTTGAATATTTCGGTCCATTTTCCAGCAAAAGCCCCCAAGTTCAGCAAATGGTGACCATAGACAGATGGTAAGCTAATGCACTTCATTTGATATTTTTTGCAGACTTGCGTAGCACTAAACTGAAGTTTTGAGTTGGTGACTGCAGCAGAAAGCGCGCCTCTTGACCTTCTCCCAGCAGTTTCGAGTCTTCCGCGATTAAATGATATTCGTCGACGTCTGCCCCATCTAGTGCAATCACACCACCGTGGGCGTGCTTTTTTGGAGCCTTAACAGTATAGGACAGGACAGGACAGGGAAAGGACAGGAATGCTACGAGCAAAAAGTCCCTGCGAGTTGCAGCATACTGTCAAGCTGGAAAGGCTCCCAATAAGGCATGCCCAAGGTGGTGTAATTGCACGAGTCGGGGCAGTCGTCGACGAATATCCTTTAGACACATAACGAATGGTACTTTGCATCAGGTTGTTGTTTGTGCCATCAGACGAGGCTCACTTTTCAGGAATTGATTTACTCACAGCTTCTCTTTATTTGCATTCTTCTTCAGTAAAGTTTTGTTCACAGTACGTTTCTAAAGGAAATAGCCTGATGACTTGATAGTGTCAAATAATATCACCCAAAAGTAAAGTGCTTGATTTCCAGAGGTAGAAATGACTAGAAGCAATCTTCTTAAGATTGTTTTTTCCAGACTTTTATTATTAGATCATTCAGTAAATTTGGCAACTCACCAACGGCATGCATTGCACTGCAATTGCATAAGATCCGTCTGAAAAAAGTTAGAATCCTCAATGGCTTGCCAGAAACCAATAGTGACGTGCGTAATTGTGTTTATACAGATAGTCGACTAGTTGAGCAACAGGCAAAAAAGCATCAAAAATGTAATAAAAGCACTTCAGCGTCGCGAAATGAGCGGTCTAGCGCCTTGTGCAATCATGGACTCGGCCAGCCTGCTTCATTCGGAGATTCAAAGTGTTGTGCATTTGCACGCAGGGCGGCGAGGTGGCTAAACAACTGATGATGGCTATTATAACTCGTTTGCAACGCACAGCAAACGATTGTGTATGAGCAGTGGAAAATGTGAAGTATGAAATAGTAGGAAAACTTTCTTGAGGGAAAGGCTTGCTTAGCTTTGTTTCAAATCGAACTGGTTACTTCCACCCTAATGCCATCCTTGGAGCAGCAAAGTTTTCTGTTCACAAAATTTTCTCGCAGTTATTGGATAAATCTTTACCACCTAGTGTTTACTTACTTAGATACTTAGATACTTAGATGGCCCGTCCTCACGTGACGTGCGGGCCCCAGTACAGAAGTCGCCATTGATCCCTGTCCCTCGCTTCGGACATCCACGATCTTCTTGGTCGTCGTCGGTGGCTGCGTCCACGAGTTCCAGGGGCAAGAATCGTATCCAGCTGATTTCTCAGCTGGTCCATCCGTTCCACGAACACGTCTGCCCATCTCGTCGGTGGTCTTCCTCGAGGACGTTTGGCTTCGCGAGGAATCCACTCAGATGTTCTTAGTGTCCATCTACGTCCGTTCTTCTCATTATGTGACCGGCCCATCGGTGTTTCGCTTTCGCAACGTATTCCGCTGGGTCACGAAGATGGGACATTCTTCTCATATCCGTGCTGCGAAGTCCGACTAGATGTTGCTTGTGTCGGGTCATCTTCAGAAGACTGCGCTCGAGCGCTCTGTGGGTGGTCCTTAAAGCTTTCGACGTGGCTACGGTATCGGCCCAAGTCTCAGCTGCGTAGCAGAGCGCTGGGAGAACGGTTGAGTCGAACAGGTGGGCACGAAGCTCCGGGTCCGTCAGTTGGTCGGTGGCTTCCTTCAGAGGCCCGAAGGCGGCCCAGGCTGCTCTTCTTTCTCCTGTTAAGTTCTTCCTCAAGTCGTTCTCCATGTTCATCGAACGTCCGAGATACACGTAAGAAGACGTCTCCATGATAGGGGTGCCTTCCAATTCCATTTCTGCATCTTCGCAAAGGGCGTTCTTCATGAACTGAGTCTTCTTCCGATTTATTCGCAGTCCGATCTTCTTCCCTACTTCGTTTAGTTCCTTCAGCATCGTTTCTGCTGCAGTGATACTGCTCGAGAAAAGGACGATGTCATCCGCAAAACGAAGGTTGGATAGGAATCTCCCATCAACTCGTATGCCTCTCTCTTCCCAGTCTAGTGACTTCATCACCCACTGCAAGGCCGCGATGAACAGCTTCGGCGAAATAGTGTCGCCTTGTCGAACCCCCTTCCCAATTGGAATGGTTAGGGGGCGATGGAATAGCTGCATCGTTGTTGTACATTCCTTGTAGCAGTCGGCTAGTGTCCTCACGTAAGCTGGTTCCACTCCTTGATCGACTAGCGCAGACAGGATGGCGTTGGTTTCGACGCTGTCAAAGGCTTTCTCGTAGTCGACGAAGGTTAGGACGAGAGGCAGTCGGTACTCCCGGCAGACTTCTATGACCCTCGAAACCGTCTGGATGTGGTCCATGCAGCTGAATCCTTTGCGAAATCCAGCTTGTTCTTGGGGTTGGGCTTCATCCAGTGTCCTAGATATGCGTGCGAGGATAATCTTCGTGAAGAGCTTGTACAGCACACTCAGCAGGCATATTGGACGGTAATTTCGAAGATCTTCCCGTTCACCCTTCTTAAAAAGAAGGACGGTTCTTGACGTTCTCCACTGGTCGGGAATCCTCTCCTTCTGAAGGTAAGATGTCAGGTGCGACGCGAGAATCTCGTGTAGACGTTGTCCTCCGGCTCGCAGAAATTCGACGGAAAGATAGTCTGGTCCTGGAGCCGTGGATGTCTTCATGGTCTGGATCGCCGTGCGCACTTCAGCAGGTAGAATTCGTGGTGGTACTTCTCCAGTGGGAACAACGGGCATCGGCACGGGTGTTGATGAGCGGAAGAGGTTGGTATAGAAGTTCTTCGCGATAGATTCCATCTTGTATCGGGAAGAAGTCGGAGTCCCGTCTTCGTTCAATAGTGCAGCCAGCGGTACGTGATATTCACAGAGGTCCCTTCGGCATTTCTTAAGACTTCGTCTTTCTTCGGCTGCTTCCAGTATCTTGGCTTGCCTGTACTTCCTGAGATCCTCCTGCAAAGCTGTTCTGCAACTGGCGTTGGCTATCAGTCGCTCGAGATGGGTTGCATTCGGATCCTGCCTCAGAAATCTTCTTCTTTCGAGCAATTCCTTGGTGGTCTTCGATATACGTTCCAAGTTCTTCTCAGAAGTCACTGAGGCACATTCTCCGCAGGCTCGCAATCCTTTCAGAAGCCGGTCGTAGTCATACGTTGGGTCCTCCTCGATGGGCCAGTCACATCTTGATATGAGCTCCTCCAGCCTGTTACCGTCGTAAACGACTTCCTTCCTTCTCGCGGCACTGTGACAGACTTTCTTTTCCAGCCTTCGGCTGAGTCGTATCTTCGCTCGAAGGAGGCGGTGATCGGAGCCACTGCAGAAGGATGGAACTACTGAGACATCGAGCAAGCTCCACCTTCGGTTGGCGAGAATGTGGTCGATCTCCGCGTTAGTCGTTCCGTTGGGCGATTCCCATGTCCACCGGCGATGTTCTTTCTTCATGAAGATGGAATTTCCATGGAAAAGTCGTGCGGCGGAGAGAAGCCCAACAAGACGGTTGCCGTTTTCGTTCCGGAGCCCATATCCAAACTTCCCGATCCTATATTTCTTTTCTAGTGGCATCCCGATTTTCGCATTGAAGTCGCCCACAACATACTTGTAGAAGGACTTTTCGCTGCGGACGACCTCCTCCACGTCTTCGTAGAAAGCATCTAGTTCTGAGTCGTCAGCTGCTGATGTTGGAGAGTAGCAGTTGATGATGCTGATGGTCTTCTGACGTGGAGGGCGTAGTCGTAGGATGGCTAGTCGGGGTGATAGGATCTCGTGCGAATCGACAAGATGGACGATAGATGGGTGGACGACAAAGCCAACACCTCCCACGTTTCGTGATGGAACCTTCTCACCACGAATGATGAGTGTTCCATCATTCATCTGTCGCACGTCCTTCTTCCTGGACTTCGTTTCCTGCAGAGCGATGATGTGGTACTTGATGTGCTCTGCAGCGTCGAGAAGAGCGTGGAGGTCGGCGTTTGTGGAGACTGTCCTGGCGTTGTAGGTGCAGAGCATGAGGCAGTCTCCATGGCGTGTCGTCCGGGCAGACGTGTCGTTTTTGTCCAATCCAAAAGGCGCCCTGAGGACCCTGACATCAGTCTTGCTACCACCCGGCGCCGTAGGCGGGATCCGATGTACAGGGTTTCTTTCTATTCTTCTAACTGGTAGAGTAATGAAATTTTTCCCCTACAAGAGCAGACTTACTAGGCCAACTCTTGATTTCCACGGGGTGATCGCTGACCCCGGGCTTGGAGCGGGGAGAACCGCCTAGCGACCTGAAAACCAGACGGCGGCGGATCTGGCCTGGCCGGCTCTTAGCTAGGCATCCGGCCGAAACCGGAAACGTCGAACTCCTTCACAGCTTGGGAGGCCCTGCCAGAGTATACACTCGGCTGTGCATCGCAGTTCGACACCCAGTGTCACCCCCACGCCACGATGAGGCGGCCGACCATTGTGGGGGTGTTTACTATGTAGTACTATTTTGATCTCAAAGTCACGATCCGCGTAGCTGGCGCGATCATTTGAGAAATTGATATCTAGAGTGTTAAAGGAGAATCATGCCGTGCCCATACCGCTGGCATTCCTCAAAATTTATTTTCAGTTACGGTGAAGCAGTTCAAAGCAAATTTTCAAATTTATTGCTTGGATGGACGATGGGGTGTATTTAATAAAGACGAATCTGCCAAAAAGGACGTTTCTTCGGGAGAGGAAATAACAGGTCTAGCTTGTCACAAAGGTAATTTTATATTGTCTAATAAATGTGGATTTCGATTTAGAAGGTGGAAGGGTCATGGGTAGTAGACGGTAAGTAAAAGCAAATCTCACGTCTATGGCTAGTATGTCGCTCGGGAATATATTAGGTTGGAAACTAAGTTTTACAACTCTCTTCATAACTTTAATCTCTTTGGATGTTGCGCACTCAAATTTTAGCATTTTGTAGAAGGTAATGCGTGCTACAACTGTGCACAGCAACACACGAATTTTTGAAGCGAATTAAAAAAATTGAAGGCGTTTTCGAAAAAAATGAATTCCGAATATTTCTAGGGTTGGAAGCCAAACTGAAGCCGTTAGCAACCTAGACAATGCGAAATGATCTGAAATTGTGTGTGAATTATTGTTGAGGTTCATTTACTCAACTCATTCATTTATTTGTTCATTACTCAATAAATAAGAAATGAAATTTGAAGATAACTCAAAATTTGACGCCCTCGCAAAGATGAACGTTTACGCAAAACTGCTGGGGACATCCGTCAATGGCTAAGGAGTCGAGCCACCAAAACTCGCCGAAACTTTGCATGCTGGAATTACTTGAACAAACACTAATATCATATTCATTAGTTGAATCAATGCTTTTTTCTTGATTAAGATGAGACCTCAAACCGTAAACCTACAGTATTCTTACAAAAATGCCTTTAACATGCAATTTCAGTATTCTTTTTGTCATCAGCACGTTAAATAACCCCTGAGCCAAATTTCAGGCGAATGTGTAAAATTAAGAATTTTTCTTCTTGCATCGTACAGAAAAGTAGGTGCTTTTGTACTTTATTTCACAATCAACGTAATGAAAAAATCTGAGCGCGCCATGTTGAAAAAGATGAAAGCTATTGAAGTAGTTGCA